CATCATTGTCGGCTTCAGCTAATGAGTTCTGACAAGTGTAAGACTGCAAGGACAGATTAATGACAACTAGACAGGCTATATGACTACTGAAGGTACTGCTTCATGAAGTCTTTGGTGAGACTATATCTCAATTTGATTTCCTGAAATCTTACTTTTCAATAAAACTCTTTCATTCAAGTGGCTCAATCTCCAAACACCACTACATAGACAATATTATAGCCCAATCATCAAAATAATAGCATTTAGTACCTGATCATTACTGTAACAGTACAGTAGTAAACATATTACATCTGACGGTGTAATCTCCTTAGTACCTTTGGAAGATCAAGTTCATTGCTAAAAGTCTTGTGCATATGCCTATTGATATAAAAGGTATTCCAAAATTGTTAAATCAAATCTACGATACTTTATATAAAAAAAAAATTCTGCTAAATATCATACATGCCAAATAAAATACATTAGCAGTAATTTGTAACAGTCCTATCACTATAGATTCCTTCAGGATTTCTTCCTACACTAGCCCTAATCCTTATATAATGATAGTCTCTAGAACAGACCCTAAATCTGTATAATCTGATGTTCTAGTGGTTTGTTTGTTGTTGTTTTTCTGCTTGAATACTTAGGACACAGACCCCCCTCACTCTGTAGACTTGATTATATTCACTAAGGCAGGGAGTGAATGAACTCCCAGACTTTATAGTGGCTTCAACACGTTAAATGCTTTCTATTGTGACTGTTTCCAGTTGGTTAAATTCAAAAATAACCAACAGTAATCTATTCCATTAGAATCTAAAGCTGTCTTTAAAAGTACCTGACTAATCACTTCAGTTCTGAACACTTTAGTTCTTAATCCTTTTCATCAACACAATGATTTATCTAGGTTGTGAAGCTGAAGAATACAGTCAGAGGTTTTTCTGCTCTACTCATACTATGTTTATTTTTAAGATTTCCAAATCTTGAATATAGCATACATACTTTGATAAGCAAAAGCCAGACACATTGTCAAATATATGATCCTATACTAGATTTATAAGTCATTAAAGTGTAACTTTTCCTTACTTAATTCACTATATCTGCAATTAAACAGCAATGCAATCTAGGATGCACCTCAAATTTATACCATGGTGCTTTGTTCATTGTAAACCCATTCTTCATTTTTTTTGTAAAGAAAGTTAAAGCCTTATTAATAATTTCAGTTACCTGTTGATTGCAAATAAGCTAATGAACTCATTATACTGCTGAAGTATCACACTTATCATTCAAATATATCTATTTTAACTAGCAAACACAAGGCACAACTTAACATACAAACACCACGCTGAACACAGGGCTGTATATCATAATAAGATTGAAAGAGAGACACCCTTCTGTAAGTCAGCAGCTTCTTCTTAAGGTCAAGATCTAGTAAATGAAGGGTGCCTACAGATTTATCAAATTCAAGAAATGAATTCCTTTAATGATGCTTAATAACTTTAGCTTGGTCAAAAAATGTGTTTCGGGGCATAATTTGTAGGAAAATAAGATGAAAAACCATATTTTAAACTGTCATTTTCAATGAAAAATTAAGAAAATTAGTCATGAATATGGGAGTTTTTTCCATAATCACACAAACAAAATATATCCAGATTGCCTACAGTCTTTCAGAAAAACGGTAATTTGTATGTTCTTGGTCTCTTCTTTTAAATAATGTTAAATTGAATATAGGTATCCGGACTACTTTTCAGGTTATTTCAAATTGAATTCCATGAAAATACTTTATTTTCTACATAATTCTATTAGAGCTGTAAAGTACGGGAAAAAGAAAGTTGAAAGTGATTATGACGTCATAATGGATCTAGCACCAAAAAGTTAGTCTAAAGTTATTTACTAGATCTTGACCTTAAAACATTATTTGTATCTAGGTTTACAAAGTTCCATTTCCTCTCTGAATCTCTTCCTGCTTTACTTCAACAAGTAAAACATCTGACTGATAAAGACAACACCTGTGTAAGTCCTATCAGGTATATACATGTATACAACACTGGTCAATCTGAGCATCACCTTACTTAAGGGAACATTGTCCGAGTTCTTTACCAGTTGGCATACATTCAGTACCAGATCAAAGTAACCTATACATACCTTACATTTCTAACTGACAGCTGTAAATCAGGAACATGCAGCTTTAACACAATACCTTACTTCTATTTCATGTAATGCAGGGAACAGCAAAAAACCTTTACTTCAACATGATCAATTCACTTCATATCCAAGTAAAAGTGAATGCTACTGAACTGATATACGAGTTATCATAACTTTTCAAAACTAGAAGTAGAAAACAAATCAACAATTAGCAGTGATCTGAAAGTGCTGACAAGCAAGGAGACAAGGCAGTGATATCATTCTACCACAGACCTTTTTTTTATGACCGTTGTCCAAAGTAAGAGAAGAGACCTGTCCATATCACTGCATGCAAATATGTAATGTTCTTCATATATATATACAAATCTCTTACTGTTTTTGACCTACCTTGCCATTTTCGTACCACACCACAGCATGATTCCTGGACAGAACTTTACAGTCGAAGATGCCGTTGTTAGAGGCGGGTCGAGCCCGGGCCACGGATCGCCCGATTTTGACGGGCTCTATGAGGGAGATGTGGCGCTCCTGGAACGGGTGGGAGTTGGGCTGGCAGGACAGGATCACCACGCTGGACATGGCCTCACGGAAGTCACTGCCCGGGTCTACTTTATACAAAAAATAAATGGGAAAATCAGTATCTTTAAAACTCTTAACGCAATGGTATAGTTATTAGCATTACAAGAAATGAACTGTTTGAAAATAATGCCTAGCAGGACTTTTTTCATCTCTTAAAAAAAGCATTGCTCATTTGTACTTGATGATTACAAATAGATTAGGAGATGTATTTTAGTTGTGCATTGAATATTAGAATTGCTATGTCTGTATGTGCCACCACTAATACTATAAATTTCCAACCTATGAGATAAATTTTCCGGTTACGATCTCATCTCACGTTTAGTCATGATATGATCAGCTTAACAAAGGACCTCCTAGCCACTCTTGATGATATGTCATAGGTCGACCCTCGTATCAAACATCAGTTATATGATACAATAGGTGACTGTGCATTCTTCAATGACATGATTTTATCAACAACAACTACATTAAAAGCACTAGCTAAGGGATACTAAAAGTTATCATTACATGGTAAATATTATATTATAATAATTATTTATGGAATATGGTGTAATAGACTATTACTAAGAAATTTAACTTTGAAGTTAAAATACTGTATGTGTACTTAAAATAGCTCACTTCATATTTTAGCTGCCTTTGCACGGAGAGCAATGCGCTAATTCATGAATACCACTAACAAATTATTGATAAATATGATACACAACATGGGCATGTATAGCCCTAATTTAAGACTATGCCAATAACTCCAAACCCAGTAATTGCACTTAATTTTGAATACACCAATTTATTTACACATGTACAGTATGTTGCCTGATGACAAAAGCCCTGCAAAGCCTTCCTTTAATTACTAACAAGATTCTGTGCTACAACTCACATTCATTCATCCTACTCTATATGTTAGTCCTATTGGAGCTTCTTGCTGTGAATTCTGAATAATAATTATAAATAAATGTTACTAAATAATGAACATTATAATAGTCATCGACAATCACAAGTCATTTGCTCTCGATTATATTTGATAACTGATAACAAATTTTTAAAATATTATTTTCTCATGTTTTTATTTCCCTTTTCCAAAGTATAATATTGGACCAATATTACCAGGTGTTTCTCGATGCAAATTAACACTTAAATATTGCCCAAAATGGTGAACTTATTACAAATTTCAATAATTAAATGGTTTCATGTATTTTTCCCCAAGCCTGAGAAATTGGGTCATTTGCGACAACCTATAGCTAAGGCCATAATAAAAATATTCCTAGATTCTCATCCCCGCCCGCCCCGATTTTATACCCCCGCCTCGATTTTTTTTATTTCGGTTTTTCTTCGTCTTAATTCTGATCGGGATCGATATTAATCTACCATTCTACTTTCGTTTTAAATCCCGCGAAAGTCGACATGATTTTGACAGCTGAAAAGATGGTTAATTGCTGTAATACATGCGTATATATTTTAAACAAGGGTCATTGGTTGAAAAAGATTGGTGATGATGTGAAGTAAGAAATAATTGAACCTTTATTATGATTTTTATTTGGGTATTGTAGATAAAATTACACGGATTGACCAGGTCAATAAAAAATCTGCAAAATTGAAAAAATAAAAAATATAAAATAAAAGCCGCCCGCCCGCCTCGATTTTTAAAAAAAATTCGGATGAGAATCTAGCAATTTATTTATTATGGCCTAACCTTAGCATTTAATCAATGCAATACATCATTACAGGATACTGATTGATTAATTAACTGTTGATGAATTTGTTTACTTCAGATGTGATTGGAGACATATTTCTGAAAGTTTAATAATACTGGGTTCAATATAGAGTAACTGAACTTTGTTACCCTGCAGTGACTATCATCACATAAATTGTTAAACCTAGTTTCAATTGTGTAATTTTTTTTTTTGCAATGTTAATTAACTTTCCTATATCTGAATCAAATGTTTAAAAGTGATCTGTATAAGTTTTTTGTGACTTTTCTCAGCAAATGAAACATTTAATTTTTATATACCTTTCAGGTGACAGTTTCTCAATTCCTGATCAAATATAATATGATGTCAACATGATGCTATCTATATGGGTGTAACAATACAGATGATACGTCATATTATGAATACACTAATCATAATGGGCTGTATCATAATGATGTTGATACATACAACCATATTTCAATGTTCGTATTTTAAAAATAATTTGATTTTCTTTAGCTTTTCATTACATGATGAAAGGAAAAGTTCACAAATACTAGTTTTACATATGCATCATGTCTCTTAAGTTTTTACCCCCACCTCTAGAACAATCATCTGATAAATACTATAAAGGTACTAGACTAGTGCATCAAAACGCAAGTCTTATTGGGGGATTGTAATCATATTTCAAGCCAACCTTTTTCTTCTGCAGTCATTGGACAAAAGAGAATACTCCTGTAGTTTTATGTACCAAGCAGAAATTAGATCATTTTTTTCTTTTAATTTATAAATAATTAGCAGTTTCTTTATTGGCATACAGAACTTGTAAATTTTCTGAAGAATTTTTTATTTCTGTCCTCCAAAAATGTCCTAAAGAAAGTGTTTTGAATATTATTCGTCTAAAATGTATATGATAAATTCTCAATGAGGATAATTCAAGCATTGTGTCTTGGGAGATTTCTGAAAACTCTCAGTTGTTAATAGCAAGCGCAGCAAGCGTCGCTCGTAACTGCGAGCTCTAACGACAACGCCTGGGCGAAGAGGAAAATTGGACTACTGCACATTCATTCCATTGAATTTTTTTCTGCAGTAATTTTGACACACAATGCATCGCTTCATACACAAATGTTAAAACCATGTTCTCGGGAGAATAACAACAAAAGTTACAAGAAAAATAAACTTGCCTTGATTTAATGAATTTATCTGTTTATTGCAGAAAAAAAGTCATAAACTGATTGAAATCAGCCCTGATCACATGGTTCAGGCTTCCTTTTGGTAAAGCCAAACGCAAACGACGTTATGTGACGTCAGAGTCTTATACGCACCAAATGTCACGTGCGGTTTGACAAGTCCGATCTAAATGAAAACTGGATAAATATCTGTGCTCGCCCTAACGCTTGCACCGTCAACATATTAGTCAGAAGAAACTGGGGAAATAAAGTGGAAAAAACGCTGTATGTTTTAGCACAAACTTTAGCATGTTTAGCTAGGATTTTAAATTCTGGCAACTCATCATGTTTATTGGAAGATGATGAGATTGCTAAAATAAGTAAAATTAGATTTTGTTAACAATTTATTCCTCATTAAAACTACTTCTCCTTCAAATCAAATGCTGTTTTAGAAGTACAAATTGCAAAAAATTCCACTTATATGGTACTAAGAAGCTTTCATAATGCAGTCAGTATTCAATAAAAAACAGAAGTCTCTGTCGAGACTGAAGCTCTACTGGCTTGTACTTATAGCAAAGGAAGAGGAAAGAACTTAAGCAGTTGGGAATTGAAAATTTGCACAGGCAAAAAAGAGAATAATGATCCTTGAATAAGTCTCTTTATGTTCTTAGTGTAGTCTACTTGCAAGCCATATTATATTATAATCAGACTAAAACTGTATTTGAAGTAGCAAATTTGAGAGTAACAGAAATTGCTATCTTTATTAACCAAGGTAATAATGTTCATTGAAGTCAAAAACGGATATAAAGAATTATGTACCTTAGTGTAGTCTACTTGAGTGCCAAGATATATTGAAATCATACCAAAACTGTAGGAGGAATAGCATTTTGAAAGAATTTCACAGAAATTTCTATTATTGGTAACAACGCCAACACCGTTCGTCGAAATCAAAAACCGATATACAGAATTATGTATCTTAGTGTAGTCTACTTGTGTGCCAAGTTATATTAAAATCAGACTAAATTTGTAGGAGGAGTAGCATTTTGAATGAATTTCACAGAAATTTCTATTTTTAGTAACAATGCCAACACCGTTCGTTGAAATCAAAAACCGATACACAGAATTATGTATCTTAGTGTAGTCTACTTGTGTGCCAAGTTATATTGAAGTCAGACCAAAACTGTAGGAGGAGTAGCATTTGGAAAGAATTTCACAGAAATTTCTATTTTTAGTAACAACGCCAACATCGTTCGTCGAAATCAAAAACCGATACACAGAATTATGTAACTTAGTGTAGTCTATTTGTTTGCCAAGTTATATTGAAATCATACCAAAACTGTAGGAGGAGTAGCATTTTGAAAGAATTTCACAGAAATTTCTATTTTTAGTAACAACGCCAACATCGTTCGTTGAAATCAAAAACCAATACACAGAATTATGTATCTTAGTGTAGTCTACTTGTGTGCCAAGTTATATTGATGTCAGACCAAAACTGTAGGAGGAGTAGCATTTTGAAAGAATTTCACAGAAATTTCTATTTTTAGTAACAACGCCAACACTTTTCATCGAAATCAAAAACCGATACACAGAATTATGTATCTTAGTGTAATCTACTTATATGCCAAGTTATATTGAAATCAGATCAAAACTGTAGGAGGAGTAGCATTTTGAAAAATTGTTTACAGACAGACAGACAGACGGACAGACGGACGGACGCCGGACGCATTACTATCGCATAAGCTCTTCTGGTCTCTGACCAGTAGAGCTAATAACATTTCAAAGACTCTATTTACAAAATTTGCTTAAATGTTTGCTTCAACTTCAAGTATATAAAAAAGAAAAACCACCTGTTATATTATTCTAAAACTGTGATAAACAGGTCCAGTATAATCTCTTGATTTAGCTATATAGCTTTAAATAGCTATATAGCTTTATTAAGCTATTCAAAATAGCTTTATTTAGCTATTTATATACAGTTTTTCACAAAAATGTTTTTTGCTGAAAATAAACAAAAAGCCGCATGTATTTGACTCTTCAAACATGTACTATGGACTATTAAACAACAACTAGTGTTTCAGAATCGGAGGAAAAATACAATCGATTATCGAATCGAATCGGAAACACCGTTTCAATTCATAATCGAAAATATCGGACATTTCTCATGTTTCTTTTTTTACATTATTAAAGGCCTTAATTTTGTATTGTGTAATTAATAAGAACTGCAGTAAAGAACACATAGGCCAATATTTCAGTTTTAATGAATATGGTTATTTTCTACAATTATTAAAGGAAAGGATAACACTTGTTTAAATATCAAAGAAAAATAATTTTAATAGTACATGTATATATAAAATTATGAAACTGATAACTTGTAGACAATTATATGTTTCATTTTTTTTTTAATAACATTTAAAATATTTATAATTAAACTATATTGATCAGTTTAACACGTTGAAAATTTTGATTAAAGGTTTTGATTTTTAATTAAGGAATGAATTTAATAGCTACCCATTTTATACGGTATAAACTGGGTTGGGGCAGTTTACGCTTTATAAACCGCGAAGCGGTTTATAAAAAAGCGTAAACTGTTCCAACCCAGTTTATACCGTATAAAATGGGTAGCTATTAAATTCATTGCTTATAATTTAATTTTCATTCATTTGATGTAAGAAAAAAAGAAGATTGTTCCAACAAAATGACTTCAATTTGTACAAAATTTGAATGTAACGTCAGGCGGATTAATACGTTTTTGACGTACGTCATTGTGACGTAGGCAACCCATTTTATACAATATAAAATAATTTTTTATCCAATCAAATACAGCGTTACAACCAGAATTAAATTATAAGATGATAATTTTCATTAAAATTTTATTCTTATATATTAGGAAAAAATTAAAGTAAAAGTTTAACAAGTTGTCTACCTTCATAAATGTTCACATTTGAATGGGGTACGCACAATAAAAATAACACTACTTCTTTTGAATTCCTTATATATATGATTTAAAAAAATGGTAGCATAGTGTTTAACTTCTGACTGGCCTCTTAATATTTAAACTTTAAAAAAATAATACATAAAATGTGAATGGAGCAGAGTTCCCGAAACTAGTCAAAAATATGTCGGACAATTGTCCTGTAAATATTCAAAATTCACCGGACAGTTGTAAAATTTACCGGACATTAATTTTTTGTATGTAAATTTAACATATTATAGGATTGGAAATTGTAACGATATAATAAATAATATGTGTAAATAAAAAGATGGCAAATGCAGATTTTTTTTAAAAAAATTATTAAAATATTTTCTATAAGGCCTGTGTATGCAGGATTTGACGTCGCCGACGGCGTGTGATGACCAACGCTTAATTCATCGTATAAAATTATTATGTCCTTTCTGACAGATTTTTTTTTAATTTTTTTTAAAATAAAATCTGCAACATGACAACTCTTGGTTGATTGTTTGGAATTAGTGGGAAATATATGTTGTTTTCCAGGCTTTTTTCTTTTGGATTTTGGATTTTGGTATTTTATGTGCCAGGAAAAATATTACGTAAAATATCAAACTCGTTTTAAAAAAGCCTGGAAAACGTCCGATATTTCTGACTAGTTAAAATTTATTATACAACCTCCACACAGTTAAAAATATGTACTAATGATATATTAAAGATATGCAAATTTATCATGAAAATGATGATTTTAAGTGAATTTGTTGTCGTTTTACTACATTCAAGTCAGTCCGCTATTTTTAGAAAAGGGGAAAAACGTGCATGTATTTTAAATGCTATCAAATACATTAAAAAAAAATCCAGAAGTTGGTATAATATTATCATGTTAATAGATTAAATTATAGAGAAAATAATAAATGGTAACAAATTGTCTGTAATCAAGCAGAAATAGCAGGCAACTCTTGCAACCCTGCAAATTCGTCCTTCAAAACGAAAGTAGATTGATTGTCACATTTTTTTTACTGTCAGAACTACAGAGTGCATATATTTATCAGAGGGAAAATATTTGTTTGACAGTGTTTTTAAAACTGTTTTTTCCTCCCAGACTTATGGAAATTATTATTTTAATGTGTAGCTTTGTATGTATTGTGTATTAGACAATCACCGTCTACATTTTATTTAAACAAGATCTGGTGCGCCCCTGACGTTTTTTTCATTCCTGTTTATTGTCAGGACAATTGAATTAAATGATTTTGTTAAGATTATATGTAAACGTTATACAGTCTGTAAAAAAAACCATCGGACATTTTGACCGATAAAATTAAGATTTTACCGGTCCCATTCAAAGTTTACCGGGGATCCCCGGTGGACCGGTGCGTTTCGGGAACTCTGATGGAGAGTAGAAAATATCGTTTCATATGAGAACAGAGGAAATTCAGGTTAAAAGACAATTTTTTTTTAAGTGGTGCTCTTAATGGTTGTATTTAGTCATCAATTCTTTTGCTGCCTATATGAATTATGTCTGATGGAAGGGAATATTATTTAGATTAAGCCATAATTATTATTTTCTAAGCATGTTTACGAATTTTTCGCTGACTCAGTTACCAAAGGTTACAAGCACCGTTTAGACGGTCAGGAACTTGTGTGCACATGGAAGATGCATAAAAAATAAAGTACCATCTTTGTACAAGAGAAAAAAGGTGCAAAACACGAAAAAATACAATAATTGTTAAGATTTAGCATTATGTTTAACATGTTTAAAGTATCTATATATATATATATATATATATATTAAGCGACAATCGATTTTGCTGTTAAGCTATCGATTGTCGGCATCGCCAAGCTTCCAACGACGATTTTTCGATCGTCGGTGACTATCGCTGAATCACTAACAACAACCAAAATCAAAGATAGTTATAACTTTGCAGCTTTTGAATACTTTTAAGCAAAGAGAGAATTTCTTTTGTTAGACTAACTGTCCACTACCTTGGGTGCCTTTAGGCAAGGAAAAGTATGATTGCTTCTCATTTTGCTGAGCTGTTACCAATCAATTATCTTGTTGAACATAATTGGTCTCCATTATAATATCATTGCAGAAGTAACTGTATCAATTGCCCCAAAACTTGTAGAACTTTGAGTACAAAGTCTCTCAAGGAGACGTAATTTGATGAGTGATTTTTATATGCATTATTTTAAGAAGATTTCAAAGTTGTATATCATCACTGCAACATGGTGCGCTTTTTTGCACATACTGAGAAAATTACACCTTTAAGAAAAAAGTGTAGTAAAATAGCTAAAATAAGCTATACTGAATAGCTGAATAAAGCTATATAGCTATTTAAAACTATATAGCTAAATCAAGAGATTGTACTGGACCTGATAAATGCCATAGGGGCTTGTCTTCCGGATTGATAAATGTAAAAAAAAAATTTAAAAAATTTGTATCTACATTAAATACACTCTAAAAATTGCTTTAATAAAAATTCTGACATGATCAGGCGAGAAAAAAATGTTTTTAAAAAAGTACTACACCTATATACATAAACTCAAAGGGACGCAAGCTGACATCTTGGAAAAAATACCCCCTCCCACTTCAGCACCTATTTCTGGACTCTAAGGCATTAATTTATTTAGTTGCCACAGTTTCTTCCCTACAGTGATGATTTTCCTAAATGTTGATGCGGTTCTCATTCGTGGACACGCGTTTAATCAACAGAAAACGGTTACAATTTCTTCGACTTGGAGCTCATCTCGCTGAATCGACCTCAAAAGAACGGAAGTTGACTTTTGTAACGGAAAACTCAGAGGGTAATCGAAAGCAAATGGTAACACCAAAGGACTCCCAGCTTCGCGGAAAAAATGTTTACCGACAAGAAAAAGATAGTGAAAACTGATAAATACCGGCTAAAATTTGGTTTCACAGGCTAAATTGTCAAGACTCATTTTATATACAAGTGATTTGTTACATAATTTACAGGACACTTGCTCTAAAAGCACGCTATAGGATATACCACGATTAATGCCCTTGCGTCGTTACCATGCAACCTTGTCAACTTCCGTTCTTTTGAGGTCGATTCAGCGAGATGAGCTCCAAGTCGAAGAAATTGTAACCGTTTTCTGTTGATTAAACGCGTGTCCACGAATGACAACCGCATCAACATTTAGGAAAATCATCACTGTAGGGAAGAAACTGTGGCAAACTAAATAAATTAATGCCTTAGAGTCTAGAAATAGGTGCTGAAGTGGGAGGGGGTATTTTTTCCAAGATGTCAGCTTGCGTCCCTTTGAGTTTATGTATATAGGTGTAGTACTTTTTTAAAAACATTTTTTTCTCGCCTGATCATGTCAGAATTTTTATTAAAGCAATTTTTAGAGTGTATTTAATGTAGATACAAATTTTTAAAATTTTTTTTTTACATTTATCAATCCGGAAGACAAGCCCCTATGATAAATGCCTCATCTGTTGGCTTACTAGCGTTCTTATTCAAATTAATTTGCCGTTTTACTTACAATATGCGTAAATAACACATATTCTAACAAGAAGAAATTAATTACTCATGACATCGACAAGTGTGAAGATTAAGAACAATCGTGACTTTCTTATAAGTCAGGAAATGAACAAAAGTCAACATCAATAAAAACACATCCTGGTTCAGCGATAATTAATCCAGATGCATGTTCTTAATTAATGCCGATTAGTTAAAATACTGGTCCATTTACAGGAAAAACTAAAATCATTCAAAAATAGCAAAGAATCGAAGGTATTTACCTTTCATACTCATACTTCGGAACTACTCAAGTCTTTAATAATCCGCCATCTTGAATTTTTCCTGAAGAAAATCTCTAAGCAAAAGCAGAAATTCTAAATTTCAATGTAGAAAATAGGAGCCTAATTCATAAATCTAGTTTACAATATAATAGAAAATATACAAAATGCACAAAATTATTCCTAACTTAGACAAATATGCACTTTTGTGCAAAAAGAACATATTATTCGTTCCGGAAAATGGTTGACCTAAAAATATCAACAAAGAAGGTGAAGGTCACCGATTAAAAATGGCAGCTGTGGAAGATGATTTACCACAGAGAGAGGTTTCCCTGCCCCGAGAGGAGTCCCCTACCTCCCCCACCGCCCTGCCGTGGGACAGGTTCTCTAACTGGATTCACTGCGCGTGTGTTGTCACGTTCGATTTGGAACTGGGACAAGCGATGGAGGTAAAATAGGCCATCAGCTGATTATCTTTGTTGACATTCTTTTTATTTTTAAAAACACATCAAATGGGTTTTAACTACAACATATGGAATTGTGTTTTATATTAAAGTGTATTGAAAAAAATAATCAAAAATCAGAAGTAAATGAAAAACGTTTGTTTAATGTTTATATACATGTACAATAATTTCTTGAAATATTAGAATTATTTTTCAATAGACCTAGTTGTTATATACCAAATGACGAGTGACCTGATCATAACCTAACTGATTATATCCCCAAGTATCGAATTTTCTACCTTGCATTAAAATTTTGACTCTCACCGATTGAGAAAATCATGTATTTATTTAGAACAGTGGCTCTTTGTTACATAATCATTGCTGTTGTATATGCTTATAGCTGTTATAAATGTTAATGTCCACTTTCAGCTGATATATCCTGGTCACGTAAAGCTGACAGATGTAGAGGTAATTCTATCAACTCCTTTCAATCGGTAGTTTTGTTATGCTAATATCATAGTCAAACTCTGTCCCCTGTCCAACAGTCTTAATCAGTACTCTTTTAAAGAATTCCTTTAGAAAACTTCATGCAATTAAAATTAATGGATATTAATTTAGTTTTCATTCATTAAAGAAGAAATAAAAAATATTATTTTAATCAATATGAATTTAATGGTTATATCTAAGTTTTGTGTTACATGTTGTAATTGTTTATTGTATATTTCATTTTATGAGATTTTTTTCTGCTTTTTTTTTCAGAAAACAAATATCTGTTACCTGTCCTTTCCTGATTCAAATTCAGGTACATTAACAGCAAAAACTTCTCTGATTAAATTATGTAGGCTTAAAGTTCATGATAAGTCTATCTGATGCAGAACAAAAATGCACATACATCAACAAAATACATTCAACATGTTCAATTACTGAGTGAAAATGTAATGAATTGTTAGATGACTGTATTATTAGTATGTGTAAAATACAATATCATCTAATTTATTTGATGACTAAATAAGTAAATTGGATTTTGTATAATAATGTCACAATGTTCTATATATCTGACAGGGTGTATGGGGGACACACAGTTCCACTTTTGTATTATAATGTCACAATGTTTGATGTATCTGACAGGGTGTATGGGGGACACACAGTTCCACTTTCGGATCAGACAGAGCCCAGGGAGAAGACAGTTACCCAAGTCAAAGTTCCACAAGGACTACCCCCATCAGCTACAGGTAGGACCCCCCCCCCCAACAACCCACCCCACCCCACAACTACAGGTAGGGTTTACCTTTTGCGTCCATGCATTTTTTCATAGCGGATTTCTATATAATTGCAAAGAGGGGACTGGAATCCAATAAAAACCTTTATTGACTTGCAGAGATAATCACTTTAGGGCTTTAATTTTTTTATTTTTAACTCACCTGAGCCAAAGACTCAAGTGAGCTATTCTGATCAAAATTTGTACGTTTTTTGTCGTCGTTGTCGTAAACTTTTCACATTTTCATCTTCTTCGCAAGAACCACTGGGCCAATTTCAACCAAACTTGGCACAAAGTATCCTTGGGTGAAAGGAATTCAAGTTGGTTCAAATGAAGGGCCACGCTCTTTTCCAAGGGGAGATAATAATGAATTGGAGAAAAATTAATGGCATTTTAAAAAAATCTTTTTCTCAAGAACCACTAGGCCAGGAAACATGAAACTCACGTGGAATCATCCTCAGGTAGTGTAGATTCAAATTTCTTCAAATCATGACCCCCCAGGGGTAGGGTTGGGCCAAAATGGCCGATTAAAGTTTTACATAGGAATATATAGGGAAAATCTTTGAAAATCTTCTTCTCAAGAACCACTGGGCCAGGAAAGATGAAACTCAGGTGGAATCATCCTCAGGTAGTGTAGATTCAAATTTCTTCAAATCATGACCCCCAGGGGTAGGATGGGGCCAAAATGGCCAATCAAAGTTTTACATAGGAGTATATAGGAAGAATCTTTAAAAATCTTCTTCTCAAGAACCACTAGGCCAGGAAAGATGAAACTCATGTGGAATCATCCTCAGGAAAATAGATTCAAGTTTTTTTTTTAAATCATGTCCCCTGGGGATAGGGTGGGGCCAAAATGGCCAATCAAAGTTTAACATAGGAATATATAGGAAAAATCTTTAAAATTCTTCTTCTCAAGAACCACTGGGTCAGGAGAGATGAAACTCATATGGAATCATCCTCAGGCAGTGTAGATTCAAGTTTGTTCAAATCACGACCCCAGGATTAGGGTGGGGCCAAAATGGCTGATCAAAGTTTTACATAGGAGTATATAGGAAAAATCTTTAAAAATCTTCCTCTCCAGAACCACTGAGCCAGGAAAGATGAAACTCGGGTGGAATAATCCTCAGGTAGTGTAGATTCAAGTTTGTTCAAATCATGAACCCCAGGGTTAGGGTGGGGCCAAAATGTTTGATCAAAGTTTTACATAGGAATATATAGGAAAACTCTTTTTAAAAATCTTCTTCTCAAGAACCATTTAGACAGGAAAGATGAAACTCAGGTGAAGTCATCCTCAGGTATTGTAGATTCAAATTTGTTCAAATCATGATCCCTGGGGCTAGGTTGGGGCCATAATGGCAGATCAAGTTTTACATAGGAATAAATAGGAAAAATCTTTAAAAATCTTCCTCTCCAGAACCACTGGGCCAGGAAAAATGAAACTCATATGGAATCATCCTCAGGTAGTGTAGATTCAAGTTTTTTCAAATCATGACCCCCAGGGTTAGAGTGGGGCCAAAATGGCTGATCAAATGAATATGTAGGAAAAATCTTGAAAAATCTTCTTCTCAAGAACCATTGAGACAGGAAAGATGAAACTCATGTGAAAATATCCTCAGATAGTGTAGATTCAAATTTGTTCAAATCATGACTCCCGGGTCTAGGGTGGGGCCAAAATGGCTGACCAAAGTTTTACATAGGAACATGTAGGGAAACCTTTCAAAATCTTCTTTTCAAGTACTTCAAAGTCATGATTAGTGATATTTATCATCCTCAGGTAGTGTAGATTCTAGTTTGTTCAAGTCCCCCTTGGGGGTTAAAATTCTAGCCCCCCCCCCCCCCCCACCTCAGTAAACTTTCAGTTCTGATCTGATATGTGCTTTTTCCTAACTGATGTGCTCAGGTTCAGGTGAGCGATGTGGCCCCTGGGCCTCTTGTTTAAAGTACCTACATGAGTTTCAAACCTCATAACTGTATGCATAATAAGTCAAAATTAAATTTCTTGCAGTAGTTCTTTGGATATTATGCATGAACTTATATAATACAATTTAAAGAAACCAAATATCAGATGAATGTATCTACCATTTAAAGATGATGTAGGACTTCCTACATGTATTTAAAGTAGTATGACAGAGATTCAGTATTGCTGATTAAGTTCACAAGTAATCCAGAAAAAATATATCAGACTACATTGTACTTTCTGTCATTCTGCAAAACTTTTAAGTAAATATATGCTATGAAGTAAATATAAAAATAGAATGATAGACTGTAGATTTTTTTTGTATTTCAGACAGACAATGGATACCTTTATGGTTTTGTGTATTTTCGCCAAACCAAAGACAAAAGTATAAAGAGAGGTTATTTCCAGAAGGTGAGTGGTTAATAATCATGTCAAATCAAGTGTTACTTATTATATAAACAAAGAAAGGGGTTTGGGACATAAGTAAGTCAGAGACACAAATTGACCTGTAATTATGTACCTTGTAAAAAAAAAAAAAGCCATTTCATTATGTTGTAATTCCAACACGTACATGTGTGTTATGTAATGCTTCCTTCATTCTGTGGTTTTGATGTTTTTCATTCCTGATGACATTTATTCTGTGATCTGTCACTGATAACATGCACTTCTCTTGTTTCAGTCGGTGGTGCTGGTTTCCAGGCTTCCCTTCGTGGCCTTGTTTAATCAGTTAGTCAGTATTATTGCTCCAGAGTACTTTGATAATGGAGAGCCCAGTCTAGAAGCAGGTAATTTTATACCTCTGTAGATCATAATTACTTTGAATTACTTAACTAATGAGTGTCAGAATATTCTGGACATTCATGTGGCCATAAATTACAATATGCATACAAAATGAGTGGCACACCTTGTGAGTTTTTCATGTTTCAAAATAAAAATGTGAAATACAGAGACATCTGTTTCAAACCCTACACCAGAAGTGTGGACACCTAGGATTTGTACATAAAAGTAAATAAGTGTTTTTTATTTTTCTGTACCATTTTAAGTTTTTGCTAGAACAATTTTTGAGAGCAAGTCCTCCACTGATACAATTTAGTACGGAAGCCTTCATCTACGACATCCCATAAATATTTAAATATCCGTCAATTAAATCAGTACATTTATTTATTTTTAGCCTGTCATGACGTAGATCAGTGGCCCTGTCCACTAGGGGGAGACACAGTCAGTCTGCCGATATTTGGGAACGTTTTACAGGTAAGTTTTATTCAACATTATCATTTGCTTCAAAGGGAATGCACACCATAGGTTAGTCAACTTTTGAACTTCGTTAACAAAATTTCTCGCATGGATTATTTATGTATTTGAAAGCAAGGAAATAAGGCACTACTCCTCAAACTTGGGGGCACTTGCTTTCTCTGAAAGAAAGGACCCTCAAGTATCATGATAAATTATGCCTTTTAATTTCTCATAAAAAAATCTACAAAAGTTACACATGGCTTCTCTTATATTTGGAAATTAATGTTAACATACATTGAGTATTTTCAAATAGATTTTAGGATTATTCCCTTTTCTATTTTTGTTGTTGTTGGTTTTGTTATAATAATTTTGTTTTAGTAAAAATGAAAGTTACTGTACAATATTTCATTTAAAATGTAAAATTTAGTTGTATTTCTGCACAAATTTTCTTTTAAGTACTCTCAATTTATTGCCCCATTGTTTTACTGTTGTCAGTTTCTGTGTTGTATACTTCGATGTAGTCAGTTTTTATTATTGTGTACATAGGTCCGGATCCCCTCGCGGACAGACAAACTCCTGGACAGAGTTCCAGTGAAAACCACCGCATCTGTAAGTCTGTCCCCACTACTGTCAGCTGTGTTGTAATCTCTGTGTGGTTTTTTGTTGTTACTCAAATGATTATAGATACATCGTATATTTTATTATTTATACACTATTTAATTTAAAATCACATTTTTTAGCTCACCTCAACGAAGTTGGGGGAGCTTATGTAGTACCCTCGGTGTCGGCGTCGGCGTCGGTGTCGGTGTCGGCGTCCCAGGTTAAGTTTTTTGGAGCAGTTTTCTTTTTAAGTACTTATATGTCCTATATTGATTAGACATGCATGGAAGATGCTTCTAGTGTGTTTCATTGTACCAGTCAAAGTTTCAGATGCTGCAATTTCAGCAGAGGAATGACCAGGTTAATGTTTTTGGAGCAGGTTAACATTTTTGGTGCACTTTTTGGTGTAGGTCTCATTTCCAAGGAATTATAAGCCCTATGTTGACCAAACTTGCATGGATGATACATCTGAGGATGCACACTACTGGGCTTGCTTCGGATGCTGAATCTGACCTACATTTTCCGGTTGAGTGAACAGGTTAAAATTTTTGGTGAAGGTCTCATTTCCAAGTAACTATGAGCACTATAATGACCAAACTTGCATGGATGATACATCTAAGGATGCATACTACCAGGCTTGCTTCGGATGCTGAATCTGACCTACATTTTCTGGTTGAGTGAACAGGTTAAAGTTTTTGGTGCAGATTTCATTTCCAAGTAACTATGAGCACTATAATGACCAAACTTGCATGGATGATACATCTAAGGATGCATACTACCAGGCTTGCTTCGGATGCTGAATCTGACCTACATTTTCTGGTTGAGTGAACAGGTTAAAGTTTTTGGTGCAGATTTCATTTCCAAGTAACTATGAGCACTATAATGACCAAACTTGCATGGATGATACATCTAAGGATGCATACTACCAGGCTTGCTTCGGATGCTGAATCTGACCTACATTTTCTGGTTGAGTGAACATGTTAAAGTTTTTGGTGCAGGTTTCATTTCCAAGTAACTATAAGCCCTATGTTGACCAAACTTGCATTGATGATACATCTAAGGATGCATACTACCAGGCTTGCTTCGGATGCTGAATCTGACCTACGTTTTCCGGTTGAGTAAACAGGTTAAAGTTTTGGTGCAGGTCTCATTTCTAATATACTATGAGCCCTATAATGACTTAACTTGCATGGATGATATGTTTAAGGATGCATACTACCAGGCTTGCTTCAGATGCTGAATCTGACCTACATTTTCTGGTTGAGTAAACAGGTTAAAGTTTTTGGTGCATTATTCATTTCCAAGTAACTATGAGTTCTTTAATGACCAAACTTGCATGGATGATATATCTTAGGATGCACACTAATGGACTTGCTTCGGATGCTGAATTCAACATACATTTTTCAGATAATGGACCAAGTAAAAGTTATGGGTGCAGGTCTATTACCAAAAAGCTATAAGGCTTATATATAACATTGTATAAACCAAACTTGCACAAATGATGCATCAAGGGATGAAAACTCTCAAATTTGCTTCAGATGCTGGATTTTAATTACATTTTCATGAAGAACTAGTTTGAATTTTTTATATAGGTCTATTTCAGAGTATCAGACCAAAATTGCATGAATATTTTCATTTTCGGAATGTACACTTTTTGTTGGTTAATTGTGTGACTTTGCCTTATTTAAAGACAACATTCGTTGAGGTGAGCTCTGTAATCTCTGATTACCTATGTTTTTTATTACCATAATTCTTTTTTGAATTCATTTCATCACATTTGTAATGTAAGAACTGTTTTCTTGCTTTTGGTTTGAAAATTTCTTTTTTTTTTTTTTGATTTCTATTTTCCAGGTTCTAACCTTAAACGCTAAATGCTTATGGAACTTGAGAATTATGAATAAATTAATTTTATGTTTCAGCCTGTCTTACCAGCACCCACCATCTTGCCATCTCTGTATGAAATTGACATTTTCAGGTAAAGCTTGCAAGGAAAAAAGAAAATCCCTTTTACTTTGCAAAAGTACTCTGGAACTGAAATATAATAATCATAGTCAAATTAAAAATATATATTGATCTTCAAGAAACAAGATAGAATTTTGTGTTTTAAGAACCCCTCATGCACATATATTAGCTACAAGTTTATAATTATTTCCGATATGTCTACTTTTACTTTCAGTTCCTTCCAGACCATACTTCCACATATACAGATGTTATGGGAGCTAGTTCTTTCAGGAGAAGTAAGGGATCAATTAAGTCATTTATATATTATACTTACACACAATATCAATCAAATTAAAGGGGCACCTAACCTGTCTCCATTTTATTTCAGCCTTTGGTTGTCATGGCAGCTTCACCTTCTGTGACCTCAGCAGCTGTCCAAGCCTTGGTCAGGTCAGTTACAAAGACAGAGGTCAAGGTCATGACTAAAAATACCATGACAGAGAGAGACTAAATATTCAGACTTTAATGATCAGCTGTTATACAGTGTATTTTACTTTCAGTTTAATTGGTCCACAGAAGTATTGTTGTGATTACAGACCCTACTTCACGATTCACGACAGCGAATTCAAAGAGTACACAACAAAAACGCAGGCACCGTAAGTCTGTATTTAATAACCCTGTATTCTAACTTATAAATATCAGAAGACAAATGTTTAAGTGCAGTGTTCTTGTATTCTTAAATGATAAATAGCAGCAAGCTGCAAAATTTATTAGTGGAATAATGTTATATTTCATAATAGAATTAGGAATTCATAACTAAATGTGCTATATTGATTTTTTTAATAAAATATTTGTCAGTATCATGGAATAATTTTTTTGAAGATTTGTGGCTTTTATGTATTTCAGGCCTTCCGTTATACTAGGTGTCACCAATCCATTCTTCGCCAAAACACTGCAGCACTGGCCCCACATTATAAGGATAGGAGAAATGATGACTCAAGGTAAATGTCTGGGAGGAAAACCTAGATCCACCAGATAATCTGTATACATTATCAAATTAATTGCTAGATCCACACTCACAGCTACTTCTTGCCTGCATTCACTTATCAAGTTATACCATGCAACTGTGAAGTCGCTGATTTTCAGGGGAAGGGGGGTGTTAATTTTTGTTGTTTTTTTGGGGGGGAAGGGGTATGGAAAGACCCACAAATTCAGGACCACCATGAAATGTAAAATTTCGTATGCAATAGTACTAAACATTCCCCAGCCACAAAATCAAATACCAGGAAAGTAATTTTTTCTTTCAACCTGGAAAATTTGACCCCACAACAAGAGCCTTATGGGTCACATCACTCACCTGAGCACATTGGCTAGGATTTAAGCAAAAATCAGTTCAGTATTGAAGAGTTTACATGGAATGAAAAGGGGTTATTGAAATAGTTATTGAAAAGAGTAGAAGTTTATCATGATTAGGAACATTATGATAACAGGGACATTTTTGTGGTTGAAGTATACAATATTCAAGAGAGGTTTGTGGAAAATTTAATCTCAAATGATTTAGCATACAACCTGTAGTATTCCTGGACATATATCTGAAAGGTGCATACTATCAGCAAATTAAGCTTAACAGATGCCACATATCAGAATAGTCCACATCAAGGCAGACGTTGGGAAAATATCAAACACAATTTGATATTCAGCTTTTACAAAACATGGAATGCAGCTACCAATATGTATGAACAATCTTCATGTGAATGCAAACTCGATTGAACTACCCTTATAATGCGAAACCATAACAAGCTATACAATACAGCAACATCAGTGCAGGTACTTGATTTTTATCACTTGTCTTTTCATCGGATAAGCAAGAAACAGATTGTCATTTGTATCTGTACATAGTCCCCACGGTGAGATCACTCCACAGTTTATGTAACGGAGGAACTGTCCATCCTGGTCTATGATGTGGAGACAGTTATTGATTTGATCAGTTGTAAGGATGTGACCCTGACTGTCTGTGGTGATTCCTCCTGGATTGAATGGTTCATTGTTTGGAGTAGGATCATGTCCAATGTACCTGAATCTTAGTTTCCCGGCCTGATTGACCACCACTACCTCTCCAATTCTACTCTCAGACACACAGATATCCAGGTTCCTGTTCTCCGCTAGATATCTGTCATGAAGACCAGTCGAATAGAAAGGTTTACCTTTATCATCAAACTGAATGGTTTGTCGCTCTGTGGAACCAGAGTAACGGACAACTTTTGTTTGTTTGTCATCAGCACTGTACATGATAACCAGGAGGTCACCAGAGGAGGTACTACAGACACCTTGAGGTCTCCAGTTCTGTAGTCTAATCACCTCCTCTATCTTCTCATTCTTCACAATGTTCACAGTTCTACCACCATTATCAGTATAAACTAGATCTCCACTTTTTGTCACTGCGATGTCATATGGTGGTTTTCCTGACTTGGTTCTGATTGACTTGAGTAGTGATCCCTGATTGATGCTGTGGAGTTTCATGACGTTGTCATTTCCTCTTGTCCAGATTTCTTCATCACTCAGACAGGCCACATGTGCAAGGTATTCTCTATACCCAATGTCTATGGTGGTGACAGTCTCTGGTTCATCAAGCAGCTGTTTGACTGGAGGAGAGGATCCAGCTTCTGTTAAAGTCATGGCTCCTGGGGGTAGGGTGGGGCCACCGTATAACAAAGGGGAAATCTGTTAAAGAACAGAATAACCAAATTTACTGAGGTGAGCGATGTGGCCCATGGGCCTCTTGTCTTGTGATCAGTTGATATGGATAGTGTAATTTTTCCTAATTTTGAAAAACCAAAAAACGGCTGTGAAAATCATTAAATAATTGAAAAAATTAAATATCCTGCAACAAACACCTATTGGAACAGTACATGTAAGTACAGTGGACCTTCAGATATCCAGATGCTTCAGTTTCCAGACGATTTTTCATCAGAACGGAATTTGTAAATGTAATATTGACGCTTTGACTGGGAACCAAAGAGTCTGGATAAATGAGGCTCCACTGTATACATAAACAGGACAGGCCACTGAGAAAGAAATTTTGGACATAGAACTAGAAATGCTTACCAAAAAAATAGTGAATTTTCATTCCAATGATGAAAAAAATATACTGATTTGCTGTCATTTTAAAAATTAGAAAATATTCTTAAGGAATACGCAGCTATGATAAGGTTGTCCGAAGGCCTTCAATGTCTTAAAAATATACATTTCATTTTGACCTAGATTTTAATTTCAATATGTTACCCTTGTCTGAAATTGCAGTCGACTTGATATGATAGTTTAATCAGGTATTATAATAAAGTATTTTTGTGATGTCACATGACTGTGTTGATCATGTGACGGAGATTTATGACATTCCTAAATGTTGCACAAAAATCGCTTCGGCACAAGTGCAAAACAAAAATATTGTGCAAAGTTTGTTACATAGATCGATTCATCGTGATCTAGGGTACACAGAAAGTGCTGGGGGCAGGTTTAATTTTTACTCGTTAAGAAAATATTTTACGAGAAATTCAACTTACCAACATAAGAGGGGGTATTTTCCACGCCTTATCGCAATTTATACAAAAATGGATAAACTACACACAATCCCCCGGCAAAATTCAGTCAGAGAACATACTTCTCTTTTAGATTCACGCAGAATATCTTCAATTTATCCTTGTCTTTCACTTGTGCCAGTCCAATGTAAATACGATTCTTAAATTCTAACTCTGTCTACGGACGCGTGAGGGGAGCGTTTCACACATAATTTTTCTCTACTGCTTGATTATGTGCATATCAGACAAGCAAAAGAAATAAAAATATCTAAATTTCAAATGTTCAACTTCATAATAACACATCGGAGCTTAAAAACAATCCTAACACCTGATTTAAACAATAAGGTCCCAAAATAAATTCTACATGCCATGTACAAATTATGACACTTTCCCCGTCATGTCAACTCAAGTATGCAGTGACTGACGTCATATTCTATTATGACGTCATATCTAGGTAGTTCAGAGAAGTTACTACAGTCTAAACAGTTTGATATTTTACGGACAGCCTTATCCTAGCTGCGTATCCTACCTGATTTATAGGAGACAGTAATGGCATCCACCATTTTCTGTTTAAACAGGTCATGTGACTTACTTTGATCATGTGACTACATTCAGTTATCTCCCTGTCAGTTGTTTTATACTACCTGGTTTAAAATCTAGGTCATATTTAAAAATAGCAGCATTTAAATTTTTCTCCGATTAAGTTACTGAAGCACGAAAACTTACAACACATAGAGTGAAAATACATTTGAAACTTTATACAAGGAGCAAGCCATACAGCTCGTAATTGGACCAAGTTTGATAGAGGAGTTAATCTCATCTTTGATGATTTTGAGTTGAGTGAATTTAGTGTGTAAAGAAAAAAAATGTTGTGATCAGTACTTTTAAGCCCATAAGAAACATATTTATTATGTTGAACATATATTAGAAATTGTACTTTAAAATTTTACAACAGTATTTTATTGAAAGTGTTGTGAAAAAGTTAATTCCAACATGAATTCTCTGTTCATAATGTTCAAAAGACTATATTTATTTAAAGGAAATATATAAATTTATTAATAGTATTAAAACTATATACCTTTCAATAGTTATTGACAAATACTCTTAGACTGGTGACTTTGGATTATGTTCTGGTACATATACAGATACATGTATAATCCATTTTTTCTTCTTAACTTTTTATTTCCAAATTTCTACAAATTGATATACAAATTTCAGGGATGCTTTACTAAAAAGTTTTATACGAGATCATGTAAAAATATCAGTCAATTTTCTCAGCAAACATAGTACGAGGGTTGTCCGGTAAAATCGTGGACAAAGCATTTTTCTCGAAAAAATAATAAGTGCATTAAGCAGAAATTTTCAGTAAATGTTTATTTATTATATTTAAGCATGTAATAATGTTTTTGATAAAATATAAACAAAAATAAAGATTTTATAATGCTTGAATACGCACAGGGTAGGGTCCTACAGCGCATGGTAAAAAAATCAGTGTTTTCTTACAGAATACACAAGTATTAATTCGAAAAGTTTTAAATACATATGATTAGGAGTAAAAATTATCCTAATTCTATTTCACAGTCTATTTTGTCGTCTTCCTAAAAAATTCAAGGCATTTGATTAATTTTTGGCAGTTTTCTGAGCATTCAAAATAGGAAAGTGGTAAACACAACACACGAAAAATGGCGACGTTTGATGACGTTATGGCACACCGGAGAGCAGTTCAGTTTGATTTAGATGTTGTAAATACACCTTGAGAGACTTAAAATAAATACAAAAAGAAAAAAAATATATAAAAATATCACCAGATCTTCAGTATACTAATGAAATGAGAGTTTTCTTAGCAAAGTTTTTTTGATCGAGTTTATGAGTAGTACAAAACATATGTCAAACTGCTATTTGTAATAGCAAATACGTTGTCACTGTCACCCTTCGATATGTGTGCTAACTATGAGAGACATTTCCGTATCAAATTGTATGCAATATGCACATCACAGATTTTTATGTATGCTATATCCTTAAAGTGTCATTAATCACATGTATCTTATATTTATGTTATAACCTGGTCACATCTCCTTCGAATCAATGCTTAACCCCCACCACAGCTGATTTTTGTTTTGTGTCAATTTGTTACAGTGCCTAAAGGATTTAATAAATTAAAGAAAGTCAGCAGCATGAAGACACTAGATGCCAAACCAGGTAGAAAACACTGACAATTTTAATCTAGATCTGCAGGTAGCAGGAAACCCCCACATTTAAGAACCCTCTCTACATTGCACACTAAAGAGTTCTAATTCTATGGTATTTTTTTGCAGTTAGAGTGATCTGCCCTTAGATCTAAATTCTTAAAATTAGAAATTCACAGTTTATTACACAACTTGTAATCAATTCAGGTATTCTTAACATTTTAAAAGGCCAAGATAAATTAATTGAACATGTTATTTACATGTATTTTTTCTATGGAAGTAAACAACGGTGATTTCTATTCACTGATATTGTGTTGTGTTTGATTATTTTTCCTGGGGGTAAATGCCATGCACTATTTGTTAAAAATCATATAAATAAGCTCAATGCTAACACCTTTATAGAATATATTTTTCTCAATATCCAAAAAACATTTTGTACTGGTGTAGAGAGGGTCCTTAAAAATAAAGCCAGATTAGCAAGCTCCCAAATTTTTAAAACCAACAAGGTTACAACAGATACCTACTTTTACCGAAGTTTGACTTCGATCTAATTCTGCAGTAGTTAACAAACATCCACTTTTGTAATCTCGATTTGCAGAATGTTGTGTTTCAATAAAGAAAACATATATGTAGAGGAGCATATGATAAAGAAATAAAATAAGTCCATTTTATATAGCCTCAGACTCATTGTAAGTTATAATTTAATAATGCATTTGACCTGAAATCAAGAATTTGAATGTTGATAGTATATAATGTACAATATATTTACATGTATGTATAGAAAATATTATTCATACAAGTACATGTTATATATTCTGACAGTGTATAGATGTATAATCTTTACTTTGAATATATCTACTGTTACTTTATCTCTATCTTAATTAGATAAAATATTTCTTACCAAGTATTTTTACGTTGTTACTAGATGATAATCCAGAAGTTCACATGATATGAATTTATTTGACACAGGTGTTTATACTCGGTACAAACCATTTCTGGCCAAAGACAAAGGAATCCTTAAACGAATTATCAAGGTAAACTAATTAGATTACTTCATGTTATTAGATTAGACGAAGCCTATTTTTATTATCATCAAAGCAATCAGAGTCTCTTTAGAACAGTAAAAGGTAATTGTCATTTGTAATTCTAGTGGTTGTAAATGTGGGAAAAGAATGTTGAAGATAATTGTAACCCCTTCTGTACTTGTATTGGCAGATCATATACAATGTAACCATGTATAACTATAATGTGATCTTTGTTTATACCAATCAATCTATTATTTACAGGGCATGCAGGCCAAGCGACCGGTGGAGGCCCAGAATGCAATTCTTCGACGCTACTTCCTGGAGCTGACACAGAGCTTCATGATACCACTGGTAATTTAACACTTAATAAATATGTTTTACGGTGTGACCGTTGGGGCAAGCGCATGATCAGCCACTTCAAACATCAAGGGGCACGAGACATCTTGACTAGCTGTGATGTCACACGTCACGGAGCTCATCGAAGCTTACAGAGACAGCCAAGCATCTGGTTGAAACTATAGACCTTGTCCAATTTTGTTCGAAAAACATTGCAGAGTTATTTTTTGTTTCTTTGAAAGATTTCTACAAATTGAAAGCCTTTTATGCTGTACATTATTATTTATTTATTTATTCGCGCAAAGGGCATTGGGTAGTAAAGGAATTCTGGGAATGTTTCACAGAGAAATTTGCCTGACGTATGTACAGATTTCATTCTGAATTTCCTCTGTTCTTACAAGTTAGTTTATTGAGCTCGCTTTGCGAGTGTTGCTTTGTGATGCTTGCTATAAACCAAGTGGAATGATGATTGAGAAGATGTTGTTCTGTTACACAGAAATAAGGTACAAGGTTTACAAATACAGTGATGGCTGAAATCTGCATTAATGTTACCTGAGATTTAAATGAATATTTTTGTTTGCAGGAACGTTATATGGGAAGTTTGATGCCTCTACAAAGAAATATTTCTCCACACAAGGTACTTCACACTTATAATTTTAATATCTTTAGTAACTAAATATTAAAATTTATTATATTTCTGTTATATTTGAATTGAATGTGTCGTCATTCTAATTGAAAAAAGAAGGCAGTACATGAAATTGTATTAACTTTAACTTTGACCCTCCCAGTGCCCTCCTAGTCTGAGCCCATTTGACACTGACGAGTTTCTTAAGACCCTGGAGCGGTCCGGGCCCCAGCTGACGTCGGGAATAAAGGGGGACTGGGAGGGGCTGTACAGGAGGTTCTTTAGGAGTCCTAATTTTGAGGGGTGGTACCAGCACCGCCAGACTGAGGTCAACCAGAAACTACAGGTCCTCCACATGGAGGCTCTGTGTAGTGCTGTAAGTCCCCATTAACATTAAATTTTTGTTTTTTTTTTCACTTTATTTTTTAAAGGCTTAAGTTTTTACATAATTTGCTAAGTGCCTGACAATGTACCTAATTGACAGAACTTACTGGTATGATTTTAGGACTTTTAAATAGCACATGAAAATAGAGGAAACTTGCATTGATAAACTGGATTGTAGACAGTATAAATAGATTAATATAGATTTTGATGATTCTGTGGA